TTTTTTTTTTTCATTTACGAATGTTGAGCTACTATGGATGTGCGGGGGACAGGTGCTGGTTAGCTGCTCACGGAAATAGCCCACACAGGTTAAGATATCCAAAAGGCGGATGTGGTGTGATGTTTTGGTGTGGGATTATAGGTAGTGATGTTGTGGGACCATGACGAATTCCACATGATGCTCAGATGACAGCTCAGACATACATTGATTTTTGAAGGCACACGTAGAGCCATGTTTCAAGAAGAAGCCAAAACCTTTCAGAAAGATGAAGTTGTTTTGTTTATACATGACAATGCTACGTCAAATTCTACGAAAAAAATTAATAATAAAAGGGTTTGAAGGCCCTCATTGAATACTTGTAGAGCATTCTGAAAAGCAGGATTTACATTGGTAGCGGCAATTTACCAAACAAAGATAAACATTGGAATTCTACCTGAGATTCTGTTTCAAACGAAGAAAGAAAATAGCTCATAAAAATTTCTAGTTTCAGAACATAAAGCATACATTTCACATTAGTGTTGTCTTTATATATTTGCCGTCATTACAATCAATTTTTTCTTCAAAATATTTTTGTAAATTTTGCGCACATTCTGTAATTTTATAGCAATATGTGTTGGTTCCAGTCTTCTATCGGAATTATTACAAAAAACTTCCCCCTCCCCAATTTATAGACAGAAGCACACAAAAGCATGCTGGGATTTCTTTCTAGCTAATACAATAAACCAGTTCTCGGTTTCATATGATTCAGTCCCGTTCTGTCTTGTTTTGAGGTTAGAACGCTATGTTCGTTTATTCGAATTTGCTCTTGTGTGTCAGCCCCAATTCTTAGTTTGTGAACTTATTTGCCTTATTACTGTTAATTTGCCTTACATATATTGTTTGCTTGCTTTATACTATTTTTTGTTCTTTTCTTGTTATTGCTTATTGCAAACTTCTGTCAATTCTGTTTGTTGGCCAGTTCTGCCATTTGTTTACATTTAACCATGGTCATTCACTCTACATAATGTTTCCTGAAGTTTCAGTAACATGCCTAATAAAGTGAAGCTTGTAAAATCCTTTAAAATTCATGAAATTGTTGTCACATTGTGACACAGAATCTGCTATCATTTATACATATATCTGATCAAAATTATCAGGACTAATGTTATAAAAATAAAACTACAAGACATATCAATTCGGCATTTAATCTCCTTCGTCCTCTTCTGTAGCCATACACGTTATCCAGCGTCGTTTCCACTGATGGAAGCATTACTGGAATTCCCTGTCTTCTGGTAACAAGAAGCTACCTCGTCGTGTTCTCTTAGATTTTCATCTTCTTGAAATTTTGTTCCTTTCAAAAGGGATTTGAATTTTAGGAAAATGAAAAAAGTTGCAAGGGGCGAGATCTAGGGATTATTGTCCTTGGCCAAAAATTGCTGCACAAGCTATGGTCACTGATGGGACGTCTGCCATGTGGTGTGATGGCCTCACTATACACACTTTCCTTTCAAGCACTGCTATATAAACAACGGAAGTGAGCGAGAACGTTATAACTAGATGTGCATGCGCGAGAAATTCAAGGTCAGTCTGTGCCAAACGACTACACTCTGGAGACTTTAGCTCGGCTACCATGACAACAGTCCCCATACTTTTTGATCTCACCTCGTATTATATTAATTAGCCTACAACATTAAGAGTGTAAATATTTCTATGAATCCTTTGATTAGTTTGCTAAAAATTAGAACAAATTACAATTGGTTAATAATACGAGACGCTGAGTATAATGAGCAATTGTTAATTGCGACTACTGATAGATATTTACATTAGTCATGAGGATTAGCGTCGATCGTTAAAATTGTTATCAAATCAAAATCAGGAAAATGGCGGAAGTACCTTAGAAGCAGCGAGAACAACAAGCAACAGATAAAAGAGAGAGAGAGAGAGTGTGTGTGTGTGTGTGTGTGTGTGTGTGTGTGTGTGTGTGTGTGTGTGTGTGTGTGTGCGCGCGCTCGCGCGTGTGCTCGCGCGTGCGTGCGCCATTTCGGTTGCTGACTTAATAAATCAGCTGTTTCCAACTTTATCCAAAGGTCACATGCTTTTTATTCCTCGACGTACTCCATTTATATCTCTTTACTACAATCTTGACAATACGCAGCCAACAACAGATCGGAGAAAATTATTATGCTTGCCCCTTTGATATTTGGCTGTGTTTATTTACATATTATTCATATGATTAAAAAAAAAAAAGTATCGAGCCAATTAAGACGACAAAACAGGAATCTAAAAAATACACAATTTCAGTCATTCATTTAAATGCAGGGTTGATATTGTTTAATATCCGATCTTATATGTTTCATGCTCAAATATATTAATTTTACATCGACCTGTTAGAAAGCAAATATGTTGAAATTTAGTAAGATGTTTACGTAACTTTCTCATAAATATGCAGTGTCACAGATTCAATTCAAAATCGTTGGTAAACCAAACTGAGAAAAAAGACATCAATATTATTCTGTTATTTCCGAACAACTTCTTTTATGTACCGTATTTCTTCAGGGTGTTGGCGATCATAGCTCTCCACAACTTCTTGTCCTTTGTAGCTCTTAATAATTTTTTTTATTATTATTTCTCTTAAACTTTTTCTGCCATTTATTTACTCAAGCTCACTTGGTAGGTTATGTATTGTTTTCCTTTGTCCCTCTTGCCTTCAGTCTATCCTATGAGTATCATATTTCTCAAACCGTCTTTTCTCATCACACTTTCGTAACGATAGACAGATTTCTTTTTAATCATTTCACCCCGAACAAGGCAATAAAGTCACTAAGATGCAAAGGGTTAATAGATGTTAGCGAATATGAGAAAAAAAAACTATTAAGGAGAGAGAACAATAACAGAATAGGAATTAAGAAGACAAAAGATAACGATATTATATTTAAATTTTTGAAGATGAAAGTTAACTGGGAAACAAGGAGCCAGAAGAGGGTTCTACAAGCGATAGAAGTGCGAGAGAAGAAACTATTAGCATAGAACTTACGGTTACATCTAACCATTTCAACAGTAAAAGTTTTCAGGTTACTTTATAAAAATCAAACTACGAGATGCAGCATTTTAAAACAGGGTGATATATCTTTATAAAAATTTATAGTCTGTCTATTTAATAAAGTTGGTGTATGTCCCTTCAGAACACTGGCGGTCATGGCTCTCCAGAACTTCCTGCCCTTTCTAGCTTTTAATAAATTTTATCTTTTTTGTTATTTCTCCCAAACCGTGTTCCGCCATCCATTTACTGAAGCTACAGAGGTTATGCGTTGTTTGCCTCTTCCTCTTGCCAGCACTCTGTCAACTTTTCCAAGCCCTTTTTCCTCATTAAGTGTCCTAGAAAATTTAACCGTCTCTTCCTGATTTTATACTTAATTATCACGTGTTCCTTTTGTTTCCATTTTTACCAAAACTTCGCCGTTGCATCGGACCATGGTATTCTCAGCATCCTTCTGTAGAACCACATTTCTGTTACTTCAAATCTCTTATTTATCCGAGAGGAGATTGTCCAACATTCACTGGTATTACATAACAGTTCAGTATTCTTTTCTTTTTTTTATAACGAAAATTTCATCTTTCTTAATACTTTGCTTAGCTTTTGGAAGGCCTCGTATTATTTGCAAATGTATTTAGAAATACGAAAATAATTTTTAAAAAAGTTTAAATAATTTCTTAATAGATCCATTTACCTGCTATTTATCAGGTTGAGTCATAAGTAGTTTCCGTTTTAGGGAACTAACTGTAATGACTAATATATCGTTTTAGTTACTAATCGTATGTGGCAGTTAAGAATAAACTTGGAGTACACTAACATATGTTAGTTTTTCCACGCCAGTGGCAGCGTACACAGTGGATCAAAGAACAAAAGTCTTAACACTACTAATGGAGAGGTTGAATGTGAGTTTATATAACGTTATGAGAGTTCAAGCAAGACAAGAAGGCAATGGGGACATCTAGAAAAATGTGTCGTTATGGTTAAGGATTCGTCACTGACCGGCAAGTAGGAAAATGCCTTGCAAAGTTTCGTTCTGGAGAAACGTCGTTGGAAAATGAATCCAGGGCGTCCATCGAGTCTTTGATGATGAAGCTCTAAAGTGGATTGACTGATATTTTTACGACTTTTAAACAGCACAAGATCTGCAAATAAACAGTCTCTACTTTGTTGAGAAAAACGACAGAACCAGAACCGAGAAGAAGTATTAGGTTGAGTCACAAGTAATTTCCGTTTTTGTGATCCAATTGTAATGACGATTGTATCGTTTTAATTACTAATCATACGTTGAGAAAAACAACAGAACCAGTGCCGAGAAAAAGATATATTAGGTTGAGTCACAAGTAATTTCCGTTTTTGTGAACCAATTGTAATGACGAATGTACCGCCCTAATTATTAATCGTACGTGGCAGTTAACCATAAATTTGGAGTACACTGACATATCTCAGTTTTGCACGGAAGGGGCAGCATACAAAGCGGATTAAAGAATACATTTCTTAACCTCATGAATGGAGGAACTGAAAGTGCATTTATGTCACATAATGTTATGAAAGTTCAAGCAAAGGAAAAACACTATGGGAACATATAGAAAATATGCCGTGTTTACAGTCAAGGAGTCAGAAGCCACCGGCAAGTACGAAATTTGTTTACAAAGATTTCTTCTGGAGAAATGAAGTTGGAAGATAAACCCAGACCAAGACGTTTATCTGACTTTTTCGATGAAACTCTAAAGTTGTTAGTGAATTAATTGACATTTGCTGCCAGAAAATATTTTTAAATTGTAAGAATTTTTGATGATATTAATGATTTACTGATATATTTGCTTTTTTTTTTTTGTTACACATAGCTGTATGGAGACGAGTTGGATTCATGCCTTTTCTCAAGAGTACTTGCGCGTAAATGAATATAACGACCCCGACTGGAATTGGAACTCGGCTCTAGGAGTTCAAATTCTGTGCCATTATCCATTACACCACCCGCACATCCCAGCTTACAGCATCTGATATTTCCAAGCAGTTACCCATCTATGTACTGACTAAGCTCGACGTTGCTTAACTTCGGTGATTCTATGGGAACCGATGTTTCAATGTGATATGACCGTAAGTGGGAATTTATTCACGGCAAATTACTCGGGAACTAAGAAAAGGTGTTAAACACAATCTACTATATGCCGACATTTAGGAAAAGATAGGTAAAGTCATCAACCTGGGTGTCTGGGTCCCACACGCTCTTAGCAAAATGAACAAACCGGATCATTTATCCATGACAACAAGTCTTCTTCACAACAGAAAAAGAACTCGTTCCTTAAAAATATCATAACGGGTGACGAAAAATGAGTTACATGCGACAATGTTCAGCGCAAAAGTCAGTGGGTTAACACTAGGATGGCCGAGGTGTCGTTTTCGACACCTTCAAATTTTCAACAAATTACTATGGAATAATTAGTTATAGTTCGATGCTGAGGCTTATGGACAATTATTAAATTTTAGCAAAGATGCTTAACAGACTTAATTCTTTAAAAAATATTCAGTGGAATAGTTGATATTAGGTTGTCCCAAAAGTTCGTAAACACTTGCAAAAAATTGAAATTTTACTCGCCAAGTAATAACAAAAACAACAAAAATTATTCCTCAAAATAAAGACCATCATTTTCCAAGACTTTCTGCCATCGACCTGCAAGCTTTCGGATCTGGTGAAAGTACCATTCAGCCGGCTTCGAATCAAAGAATTCTTGACACGCTTCCTCGACTTCATCAAACGAGTCGAATCGGCGGCCCTTCAGAAAGTGTTGCATTGAGCGGAAAAGGCCGTAATCTGATGGAGCACAATCAGGACTGTAGGCTGGATGTGGCAGAACCTCAACGCCGTCCAGCTCTTCAAACTTGTCTTTGGTCTTCCTGGTAGATCCATTTCTCGTCCGATGTCACAATGCGTTTCCAAAAACGCTCGTCCAATGGGTTGCTGAGCAATTGACGGCAAATTTCAACTCGGCTGTTGGCTTGTGTTTCGGTGAGTTCGTGCGGATCTTGGCGCTGCTTTTTGTGAACAAAATCAAGTTGCTTCAAGTGTCGGTGAATTGTCGATTTGCGGCATCTATCTTCTCTTCTTTTATATATATATATATATATATATATATATATATATATATATATACTCCAAGCTCATCAGCCAATTCTCGATAAAGTAAAAAAAAACAATTAAAAATTGCATAAAAATTCAATTTTTGGGACAACCTAATATTTGAGGTTTTACCTTGAATGGCCGAGATGTCGTTTTTGACACCGAGGCTATCGATAGGGTAACTGCATTGAAAGATTTCTCACAAGCAATAATACTTGTGTTTATGTCCCCTATCTATCTATTTATCTATCTATCTATAGACACACACACACACATAATTATATATATATATATATATATATATATATATATATATATATATATAATATAATTTCTTTCAGTATGAGGTATACTAATATTTGTGAATTTCTTTTCGGACTTGTTATTCCTGACTTGAATATTGAATATATTAGAGATGGCTGCTACACAGCGTAATGTAAATAAAGATGTCAAAAGAGCTGGCCATCCTAGTGTTAACAAGAATAAATTTCTACAACCCACCCCATGGAGAAAGGTAATATTGGACATGTTCTTAAAACGCAATAAAAAACTAAATGCACATTTATACGTACAGCAGCTGCAACGTGTCCATAAAAGTTTGCTCGAAAAGTGCCGTGCTTGTCAACAGGAAAAATATTGTTCTCCATGAGCATGCAATGCCGTATACAGAAAAACATAACACAGGAAAAAAATCTGGAATTTAGTTAATCTGTTCTAATCCACACACCATATTCACCTGAGCTTGCATCAACCGATTATTATCTCTTTTGATACCAAAAAAATACATTGGAAACATTATCTAATGAAAACCAGATTCAAGTGTTCATCGAATTTTTTTCACATCAAAACCTGCAGGATTCAGGGTTCGAAGTTGCGTCCAATTTTTTAGGCGAAACCGCTGTTTCATGTAAAGTTCCTTGAAAGAGCAAATAGAACGTTGCTGTGGCCGAGAGTTTTAAAGCATGCCGAATCAAAAGATGGTTTCTCCTACAAAGGTGGATGCTGGTTCGGACTCTACCGAAGAGCACATTTTCTTCTTCGTCTTTTCGCGAGTGCGCTGGTCAATAGATAAAAGGTACAGTGTTTAATTTCTTTTTTAAAGTGACTATTTCATCATCCGCTAAAGATAATGTTCGAAGTAATAAAAATTTCTTATTAAAAATAAATTCATAATTTTTTTTTATTTGTTATATATATATATATATATATATATATATATATATATATATATATATAAATGGTGGTACTCGTTTGAAAAAATCTCGGATAGCTCTACTTGTAGTAGAACAAATCGGTACCCGAGGAAGAATGGGGAATAAAAAAAGAAAGAACCAGGAACATTGAAACAAGGCGAAAACATTTGTCCAATGTTCAAGCTCCATGTCCAAAGGAAAAGACCCCCAAAACGAGTAAAAAGACAACTACGTAAAGTGCTCAATACACTAAGTAGAGTAAAACATAAGATAATCCTAAGGAGCCAGGAAAACCTATCTAGGTTTCACCTAAATGGATCTTCAGGGTAAAGCCAGCGTTACCCTGAAGATCCGTTTAGGTGAAACCTAGGTAGGTTTGCCTGGCTTTAGGATTATCTTATGCATGCATATATATATATATATACATATATATATATATATATATATATATATATATATATATATATATATATATGATGATGATGATGATGATGATGATGATGATGATGATATTGATACCGCTTGGTATTGACCTCAGTGTACAATTTTATATTTACATACGTTCTATCTCTGATACTGGGCACTTTCGCCCATAAATATAGCAAACCTTAAAACAATATATATATGTATGTGTATATATATATATATATATATATATATATATATATATATAGATAGATAGATAGATAGATAGATAGATAGATGCTAACTATAGCTACTATTAAAGTGTCTTTAAAGGTAAAGATACAGAACGAATCTGTTAAAAGCCCTTTTATATCAATTTCTATCACTAGAAAACCAGCTTTTTTTTTTTTTTTTTTATTTGTTCGTTTTAAGATAAGAAAATGCGAGATTTCATATCTAAAATTGTATGCAATGAGACTCAATGCTAACACGGCTGCGTGCGTTAACAGTTGAATAAGATGTTTGGCTAATGAAAACTGAAGAAAAGTAACAACCAAATCAAAAAGTGCTCGGTGACGTTAAAAACGGCATTTATTTCTGGCGGGAAAGATGTGGGTTGTGTGGCACGCGTATCGATCTGCCCGACCTCGAGGGAACTGAGGATTCAATTAAAAAATAATCAATTGGAAGTCTCGAACGTCTTGAAAGCCCACGGCCGGAAAGTCTCTTATCAGCGGAGACTTGTGAGCGACTCTCCACATCGTCATCTTGTAGGAGCAATTCATAAAATATGTTAATCGCTAGCTGCTGTCGATTCTACTCCCTCTAGAAGAATCATCTTCATTTCAGGCAACGAAGATCGAGGCCAGATAAGAGCATGCAAGAAAAAGTCGCCATTAAATGCAATTGGAAAAGAGGTGCTATCTGAACTTGTCCGGATTTGAGAGGGAGACGGAGGGTTGTCGATGTGGCCATCAGCACCTTGAGAAGACAAGAAGTGTTTTCACCAAAAAGGGGGGAAAATAATCAATCTTCGAAGAGGTAAACTGGTGTTGATGCTTGGCGTATTGTGTAGAGGGAAATGATACGGAAAGAGAGAGAAGAAAAGTAGAAACAGATAGCGAGAAGGAGGAGGAGAAGAATCAATTAAAAGTCGGGCATTCAATTTCTGTTGGCCGGTCGTTTGGTCGGCCCAGCCACAGATAGTTGATAAAGAAGTAACCCAATAGATCGCTGGTAACTGATAACGAAACAAAAAAAATGGAGAAAAGGCTACACGAAGCGTTCTGTACAAATAGCAATTATCATTTCTCGACGAATTAAATTCCGATCAGTTCCTCAGAAAGAATGATAGCGTGGAAAAACGATTGAGAATAATGTGTAAAAAAATAAAGAAGTAAAAAAGATAAAATTACAAAAGAAAGAAAGAAAGAAAGAAAGAAAGAAAGAAAGAAAGAAAGAAAGAAAGAAAAACACCGAAGTAAAAAAATGTTTCGATCATCGTTTGGAAGAAAAAGATGACGACGAAAAGGATGAAAGAAAGAAATAAAATGAAAGGACAAGAAGACGAGGACAAGAAAATAGAAGAGGGAAATAAGGAAAAGGAACAAGAAGAATCATGAGGAAAAAGAAAGAAAGAAAGAAAGAAAGAAAGAAAGAAAGAAAGAAAGAAAGAAAGAAAGAAAGAAAGAAAGAAAGACAAATGGATGAAAAAAAGAATAGATAAAAGAAAAGAGGGGAGGAGGATAATAAGAAGAAGAGGATAGAAAGACAAAAGAATAAAGAATAAGAGAAGGGGTCGGACAAAGAAAAAAGATGCGAAGAAGAAAAATAGAGGGGGAGGAATAGAAAATAACAATGAGTAAATGGGGAAAAGGGAGAAAAAGACAGAAGATTATGAAGAATAGAATGAATGGAAAGCGGGGAAGAGGAGAAGAACAAAATAATAAGGAACAAATGAAGGGAGGAGAGGAAGTGAAAGACGGAATGATATATAAATAAAGAGTAAAAGAAAGAATAAAGACAAGGAGAAAAGGTGTGCGATTAAAACACCTCAAAGGTTATAAGAATGATGTAATGGAGAAAAAAAAAACAGGAATAACTTTCACGGAGACAAAGACCAAAAAAGGCTTAGAAAAGAAATAAAAATGCTAATTAGAAAGAATAATATGAATAATAACATTATGAAAGATATGAAGAGAAAACGAAACAAGAGAGAAATGTAAACAATTCTGAGTGGTGGTGGTGGTGGTGGTGAAATAAGTGACGTAGGGGAGAAAGAATTTTATTTACGGCATTTGAGAAAGAGGTAATAATAATGAAAAGAGAACTGATGTTCATGATGACGATGATGATTAAACAGAAAAAATGAAAAGAGTCTGAACG